CAGAGTCTGGGTTCAAAAAAAAGGGGTTTCTTCTTATGAACCCTAGTACAGACTTTTGCAGAACCCTACAAACAATTTCCAGGCGAGGTTGGAGGAAGGCTCCGAGCCCCTGCTTCCGGAAACTGACATCGGGTTTTGGGTTTAGGGGTTTAGGGTTTAGGGCAACCATCCAAACCCTTGTCCGAGACCCAAGGCCTTACGCAGCAAGAGCCAATCCAAATGTGTAGGTTTAGCTCAGGTTTGGGCTGGGTTTCGGCTTTGTGGTTTCGGGCGTAAAGGATCGTTAAGGATCCCGATGCGGACAGTGAGTCTTTGCATGTACCAGACCTCAAACTCATTCTGAAAGCGCGGGAAGCCTAGCCAGCGAGGAATCCGTCGGCGAACCAGAATGCAATCATGACCTACACGCTCGTGAACAAGTTCCACGCAACTACTCTGGAATAAGTCCCAAGTCCTAAGCCTCAAAATGCCGTAAACCCTCCCACAAAGCTTATAAGCGATAGGGGCCTCAAAAGTAGCTATAGTCATATCCCCTTCAAGGTCCTTCTATGACTAGACTACTTCCCCTCATAAAAAGAGAACCACGCCATGTACGTTAAGAGTTGATTCTACAAGTCTGACTCTTGCTTAAGGCCCTCCCCCCAAGACCTGCTCGAAGGGGTTGCGGCTTCGGACCTTCATTGGGTTTAGGGTTTAGACCTTCATTCAATGAACAAGGCGCTTCCCGTGGCCACTTCCCACATATCGCTTCGGGCTTCGAAGTGTTTCAGGGTCTTTTGTCAGGGTCATACTGTTGATGATATAAATCCTGCATTACGCTAAGGACCCTAAACTATGGTAATTACGGTATATTCCTTATTCTGGGTAATGCAGGATTTATACCATCAACCGTATCAGTGAAGATCCAAAGACTCCTTTGCAGCCCCCTTGTTGAAGTTGCCCATCCCAAGGCCACGACTGCAGAGAAGCCATGGCGAAGGGTCGGTGAAGTGATCTTAGAATCCCTTCTTCGGGAAATCTCTACTAAACCCTAAACCCTAAACCCTAAACCCTATACTTTCCAGGATTCCATTCCTTTCGCTTTCTCGGCCCTTCGGAACCCTAAACCCTAAACCGTGGGCC